GAAGAGGGCAACGTGGATCAGAGAACAGACAAAGGTAGAAGATATACTCAAGAGCATTAAAAAGAAGAAATGGCAATGGGCAGGGCATGTATGTCGGAGACAAGACGACAGATGGACAAAGAAGTAACAGACTGGACTATAAATAACTTAAGGAGGCCAAGAGCCAGACCAATGACACGATGGCGCGACGAAATAGCGAAATTTGGGGGCCAAGACTGGAAACAAACATCGCAAGACAGGGAAACCTGGAAAAGAATGGGAGAGACCTACGTCCTGCAGTGGACTGACTCAGGCTGATGATGATGATGATGATATATATAATATATATATATATATATATATATATATATATATATATACATATATATCTATATATATGTATGTATATATACAAATCAATATCAAGGCCTATGATATAGTAACGTTAGTGTCTATAAATTGGCCTTGAATAATTAACATGGCCTAGCGCTAAACCTACAGAGAATGTTGTAGTTCTACACTCCTTTCCATCTTCGCCTTTGTAAGTGTAGTATTACAATGCGTCAAGGAAAAAAAATAACTGAAGTATATCTAGTTAATGCTAAGGTGCATGTATAGACCTTGGGTTGGGCTGCTTCCCCCGAGAGCCCTATGATTGCAGTGTTTACATGCGGGAAAGGCTAGGTCAGTAGCAACTCGAGGTGGTGTCATGGCGTCCGATTCAAAATTTTGGGAAAAAAAAGCCACATGGGGTGTATTTTGATGACGTCACGAAAGTTACGGATGCTTTGTGAATATGGTCGATCATTTTGGTCTCTTCAGTTTTCAAAAAAAAAAAGGATGGAAAAACGATGATTTTAATGGTTATATTTTCATCGAACGATCATCAAAACAGACGCCATGACACCTCCTCGAGTTGCTACTGATCTAGCCTTTCCCGTTTACACGTGGCGGGATCAGGAGACAGTACGATGGTTCTTTTCGCTCTTATCTTATCGTATCTCTTGTCTTATGGGACTAGAACGAGGGACGGGGTACCGCTGTAGTGGGGCACCATCTGTTACGGAGTAGTAGGTTCGCAACTTTACTGAACCACCGATAATTACACATGCATAGCAATAGATGACAAACTGGGATGGTCCATATTGCCCACTTGTACCATTTTGCCCAACCTTCCCCTATGAATACATATATGTATATGCATGCATGTATATGTACACGAGTACACACACACACACACACACACACACACACACACACACACACACACACACACCACACACACACACACACACATACATATATATATATATATATATATATATATATATATATATATATACATAACAAATACATTAAAATAACATTATTCAGAAAACATGAATATTGAATATGTTGGCCATTCTATCGAAATCTTTTACATATATATATATATATATATATATATATATATATATATATATATATATATATATATATATATATATATACATATATATATGTGTATGTATGTATATATATATATATATATATATATATATATATATATATATTATATATATATATATATATATAATGTGTGGATTTTTTTGTTCTAGGTCGCCTTCCAGCTACTAAGCACCTTCGTGGAAAATTTGCTCTTTATCCAACCATTCACAACAGGCACTATTACAATTTCCTCTCCACAACACCTGCACAATTCCACTAGAGGACCGTTACGATATGAATCAGTACTCTCCAAATGTTGTTTCGCATAAGAGTAACATTCTCGGCAAATGAAGCATATGGCATAGTAGAAACATAGTAGAAACTTATTAAAAAAAAAAAAAAATACATAGTAGACGTATAATGGCCGCCTCGGTTGTGACATAATTTGAAATGTGTGGTAATTTTCCAAAAGGAATATACACGTACTCACAAGGGGAACCGCATTCGTAAATATTGTTGCAGTAACCAATTCCAGCCTTCAGTTTAGTCCATTTCAATACTATAAAATACTATATGTAAGAAAATGTGTACATAGATTTTATCGGGTAAAGATAAAGGAAAATACCCATATTTTTCGTTTGTACTCGAATTCTCTGGGCGGTGGAGTAGGTATCCGTCCGACCGCTTCCCTCTTTAGTCTTGGCCGCCGTGGAGAGCGTGTGAGTTCGCTGTCGGTCCTTCCGAATCCTTGAAAAAAAAATAGCTTGTGCGGGAAAACTAGTAGGAAGACCGATAAATAACTTGCTCATTTCCTTTGGCCACCGTGGAGAGCAGAGACGAACCGAACGGGCATGCTACGCCAATGAGCAGAACAGGTTCCCAGTGAAAGGATTGTTAGGGACCGGCGAGTCGCGAAAGGACGCCATAACGGTGACGACCCCGACGAGATATGGCGTTTTTCTGAGATAAGTTGCCTCCCTACATTTGTTTACATGATTAGTCCAGCAGTCCTGTGATGAGTTACAATGCAGTTAACTTGTTAAGTGATTCCAAGACATTTTCTGTTATGTTATGCGCTTCGTTGGTGTGGGTGGAACAGGAGTAAGGTTTTGAGAACTAACCTCGTCTTAACCGTAGTTCTACAGGATTACGATAATTTGTTTCCTATTTTCATTACCCGTGGAGCAGAATCCGTGATGATTATTTGGCGGATTATAATTGTAGTGGATTAATTTCAAATTGTAACCGTTACAATTGCCAGTCTAATTTCCTTGCTTTTATGGATTTAATTTTGTATTAACGATTTTCTCCCACATACCGTATTACTGGGAAATGTGTATGTAAACTTGCAGATATTTGGACTTTCTGGGAGATTCCTGGGAAAGTCTTCCAGATGGTTGTGGCTCAGTATAAAAAAAATTCAGTGTTTCAGTTTGTGGCTTATGGAAGTGAAGTACAATTGAATTATTTAGAAGTTAATTTAAATATTAACCTATAACATATGCGTACCACATCACAAATAGGACAGAAAAAAATAATGTAAAAATTAACTGAACTATATGAAAAACATGGAGATAGGAGACCAAAACATGTCTCTCCAGTGCACCTTTCAAATGATACATCTTTTGAAACTAGATTGTTCATGGTTTCACTTAATCATTCTTTAGTACATAAACTAAACAATTATAAGTTGCAACATAACAAGCGTACATTGTTACGGCCATATAGGAACATCACTGCCCAAACTAGCCCAACTAGGAACAACTAGCCCTAAAAGCTGATGCAGTGATTGCAGTTAAGTCATCCACAACTACAGTAACAGCAGTGTCTGCCGCGCCTGCTTCTCCTTCCGTGACGTTGGAATCATCCAAGGCTGTACAGAGATCCATTCAGAAATTAACATTATCTTCAAATTGCCTACTCCACTTCTACACACCTTTGCCGCGCTGAGACCGGAACTTGGTTCGCTCCCCATATGCCTAGGCTCTAACGTTTGGCTCTAATGCCCACCAGCGTGAACCCCCCTGCTCCGGGCAGGGAAATGGCTACTGCAGAGACTGAGTGCGCTTGTCTTCCAAAAACCATGATGGCATCTGTTATATGTTTGGGATACCTTCTCCTACGTTTCCTCACCAATACGTGGGCGGAGGTCAGCTTCCTGGCCTTCTGGAAGGATAAACTTCTTTGAAGCTACCAATATGACGCCCATCAACGTTTATGGCGAGTCTTCTGTCACTCACTCAAAGGCAAGCCAACCTACGATTCCTCGGATGTTCTTTGTCACCGATATTTCTCAACCCGTCATCGGCGCCAACTTCATAGACCATTATGTTTTGACTGCCAACATTAAAAGTAATTCCCTTGTCCACCTATACACGTGCTTGTAAACACGCTACCCCGGTGCTAGGTTCAACCACATAGTGCAGTAAGGGATCGTCTGACCTCCCAGCAGCCAATGGGCAGCCCCCTTACTTCTGGTGAAGAAAGATAGGGACTGGCACCTATGCAGTGGCTACCAGCACCTAAACACAAAGAGTTACCGCTGCCGCACCTGCACTCCTCCCATGAGCTGTCTGACTGCACGATCATTTCGAGGATTGACCTTGTGCAGGTGTATCACCAGATCTTGATTGCTGAAGACATCGCTTAGAGGGCTGTGATCACATCTTTCGGTCTGTTTAAAATATAACACCCGACCCAGGCCAGTAGACATGTACGAATCAAGTAGATTCTCCCAATCAATAAAGCATTTGAAGCCTTGGCCTCTGCCACCCAGCTCAACCACCCATGTCCGGTATACCAATCATCATAGCTGTCGATGCCTCTTACACTGCTATCAGTACTGTCCTACAGCATTGTCAAGCTCTTACTTTCTTTTCTTTTCTTCCGCCTGTACAAAGTAGAAAGGAATTCCTGACTGACCACAAACCCCTCACCTTCGCCTTACACTACCACCACCAATCCCCTTGCGAGGAGCGACACCTGGACCTATCAGTTGATGACAGACATTCGACTACCATTTTGTTAGCAGAGAGCAAAGCCAGGACAATTCCATAAATCCTCTTAGATGGCCAGATTTCCCCTAAACTTTAAAAAAGTCCAGATCCTGCACTCTCTTGATGAACTCTGTGATATCTCAATCGGTTACCCTCGCCCATACATCCCGCCTTCCCTCCGCCGGCCATTTTTCGATGCCTACCACGAGCATCGCTGCATCTAGGCCACCTAACACCTCATCCACAAGTCGTCTGGCCCGCCATTAACAAAAATGTTTGACAGTGCTGTAACTCGTGCATCGAGTGCCAGGGGAACAAAATCCAAAGGCACACCAAGTCCTTCAGACTTTAATTCCAAAAGAAAGGTTCCAGCATGTTCACATCGACATAATGGATCCCTGCCCATGGACGATTGCTACTCCTATATCTTAATAATTGACTGTTTTCATCAGATAGCCCTAGGCTACACCCTATCCACATCACTGTAGTGACTGTTGCCAAAACTTTCCTCAGCTGCTGGATCTCCTGTTTTGGCACCCTATACACCGTCACCGCCGCGAGTTTACAAATTTCGAGTCTGAACTCTGGCGACTACTGATGGTCCTTCTAGGTTTCAAGAGAATCAGTATGACCACTTACCACCCCTGCACCACCAACATGGACGAGTGCTTTCACCGTTACATGAAGCAGGCCCTGACATCCTCCAATAAAAGGTGGGTCAACCATTATCCTTGTGTCCTCTTTAACACCCGGACGTCATTCAATTAAATCCTGTTCTACACCACCACAGAAGTAGTCTATGGAACCACGCTCGTCCTCCCTATAGATTTCCTTGTCAAGGCAAGAAATACAAACCAGGGACCTTCGGCAAGCAAATCTATTAACGGAGCCGATCAACAAGACCCACCCAACAGGACATCTACATACTCCCTGGGCACCTAGATTACTCCCACGTCTTTATGAGGAAACATCCCCCCCCTCTCTCCCCTCCATATGAGAGCCCCTTCCCAGTTATCAGCAAAGGTGACCATTTGCCGCTATAAAGACGAGGTTAATGTAACTATCAACTGTGTCTCAAACCCACTC